GGCCTTATTAACCCTTTACACTCCATCATTGGTGTTCATATTCTCCATTCTGTTCCCTTAACATTTCCTATAGTACTGACAAGGAGAATTTGTTTAACAATAAGGAGCTTCTTAAATGAGCGATCATTTGTTTTATTTTCATGACCTATACTTTTTATTCAAGGGTATAAGGTAGGGAGAAATGAGAGGCTAGTCACTCTTTGGTGTTAAAGAGTTAAAGGTTGTGATTTTTCTGTTCAACAATGATAAGTTAAGGAATACCTTTTTCTGGTTGTACAGCCAGTTGCTTAGGATGTTTGGGAAACAGGCAGGCTACCAGAATCTGGAAATTTTCATTATTTTCTATTTGTCTCTAGGTTTGATAAGACCTGGTGGAACTGTAGTCGAAGGAACAGCTGGAAATACAGGTTTGTATGGAATTATCAATTGTTTTGATTTGCTGTGTTATGATTATCTTGTCAAAGAGTGCAATAAGTTATTGTGTCGAAGTAATCAGTGGTTTTATTTTAGGTATAGGACTTGCACACATCTGTCTTGCCAAGGGTTACAAGTGTGTTATTTACATGCCAAATACGCAGTCACAGGTGGGTGTCAACAGAGCTTTGTTTTAGTTATGAATACCAGGGCATATTAATCCTTTAATTCCATGATATTTTCTTCACTTGTCAGTTGGATATTTTATGAATATTGAAAGAAGAAATTCTTGCATGGCTACACTTGGGAGTAAAGGTTTAAGAGATTGTCTTGATGATCAACCTTCACTGTTGGAATTCAAGTATCCTTTTTACTAGGAAACGACTCATGGTATTATGAAGAGCTAATTTTAGCTGAGAATTGCTGTTATTATTTTAACATTCACCTTTTTTCATCTGCCATTGGGAATTTGTACATTAAAACGAAAATATTTACATTTTTTTTTTAAGGAAAAGATAGATGTTTTGAAGACATTAGGTGCTGATGTACATCCCGTGCCTGCTGTTCCATTTGATGACCCCATGAACTATAACCATCAGGTGATAATTTCTCCCTATCAAACAATTATTCCACAAGCGCACATTGGATATGTGATGATAAATAACCAACAAGGGCCGTAAGGTTGAGTTGGCTCTAATCATCCCATATCCAACAGGCATGAATGGATAAATGTTTTATCAAAAAACGCTCCAAAATATTATTAGATAAATATTTCTAACTTTATTTTTTAAGAATGTATCATTAAAGCATGATATAATGGTTTATAATCCATGATGGCTATAAAAAAGCCAATGAAAACTCTAGAATTGCATTATCCAAGTATTAAATAATAGCTTTTACATACCATATAGCTGTTGTATATTTGAGAGTAGATGGGACAGTGGGATGGGAAAATATTTGGGTCTTGCTCATAGCTTAGGGTCTGAGCACAGCAAAGTCTGCCTGTCATAACTGAGAGCAAAGTATGTTTACCATCTAACTCAACCTTAAACTTGGTCCATAACATTTTATCATATAATCCTCCCTCTTTTTTTTCCCTTTCTTTTAGCTGCATCCTCTCCAGGCAATATAGCTTTATCCCTCCCCGCTCATGCCATTGCATAGAGTCCTTGTATAAGGGGAATTTTTGCCTAATGTTTTTCAATAAGAGCATGCACTGGGCTTTATGGGTCCCACAAAAGAGGCTTGTTTGCAACCCAAGTAGTAGGGTGATGAAAACTTACTGAATAAATGCACATGACGAGTCTTAGAATGCATGTCAGAAATTTTTAACGTGAATTTGCCAAGAGAACCACCTGGGGTATGGCTTTAGCTCTGTTTTGTCTGCTAGACATGTAACCCAAGTGAGATGAGAAACACCTTTGACATTTAAAGGAATGCAATTGTTAATACCGGGGTGAAGAACTAGAGGTTATAGACTTTTCCTTACTTTTGTTTTCTGATTTTCAGGCCAGACGATTTGCTGAAAGCATTGACAATGCTGTATGGACAAACCAGGTAATTCTAAATGAGGCCACAGTCAATCAAAATTGGGCTGTTGATAAACAGAGGGGCATCTCTTTATTCTGTCTTATTTTTGACACTAGTGTCCCATTGTAGACAAAAACCAGACTCTAGAGTATAAAATCAGATACTAGCATCTAAAATTGGACAACAGTGTCTAATACCTGGTGCTAATGACCAAAATTGGACACTATTGCCACAAATTGGTTTTAGACATCAGTGACAAGTTTTGGACGATATTTCAGACTCTATTGTCCAATTTTAGACACAAGTGTGCGATTTTAGACTCAGCTGTCTGATTTTGAACACTTATACTAATTTTAGACACCATTGTCTGATTTTGGTTTCTATATGTGTCAGATTTTAGATATTAGTGTCTAAAATTGGTCATTAGTGTCTAAAATCTAACACTTGTTATGTCCAAAATCAGCACTAGTGTCTAAAATCTGACAAAAGTATCCAAAACTGCACTTTAGTGTGTAAAACCACACTCTTGTGTCAGAATTTGGTTACTTGCATATTAGATTAGACACTAGTGTTGAAAGTTGGACACGAATATCTAAAATGGGACTGTAGTGTCTGCAATCAAACACTAGTTTCTTTTCAGTCACTTTTGTCTTATTGGACAATATTAAAATATCTATAGCCTAAATTTATCTATCTTGTTTTTCCCTTAGAGGAAAGCTTGGGTTGTTTGAGCCTTGGTGGTTTTTTTTAATTTGGTTTTATTTTTCATTTACACATCATAATTACCATAATTAATAGATTATTTTATATGATCGAAACATCTGGTGCAAATTAAAGTAAAGAAATGATATTTGTTAATATTTATTTAGTTTGACAACATATCAAACAGAAGAGCTCATTTTGAGATGACGGGGCCAGAAATTTGGAATCAAACTGATGGAAGGATAGATGCTGTTACGTTTTCCACCGGAACTGGTGGCACTTTAGCAGGTGATGATACATCATTTCTTCTCATACAAAACAGTAGTGGTTTGATCCCAGATGTAATTGTTGACTGTGCAGGCTAAGTTCGGGTGGAAGTAGCTTTGTAAAGATCTGTTGTTTTTGGGGGTGACTGACATTTTGACAATCAGAGCCCATAATAACTTACCGCCTGGTTGTTGAAACATCAGTCATTTCTACCAACAACAATCATTTTCAGTACTATTCTTACCCTGACTGCAATGGGAGATGTGGTGGCTCAATGGTTGGTGCGCTGGGGTCTGGGTTGAGAGATCTGGGTTCTAGACCTGGCTGGGTCATTGTGTTGTGTTCTTGGGCAATACGCTTCACCTTCGCATTTCCTCTTCCAACCCAGGAGTATATATGTGTATCTGTGGATGGTCAGGGAGGCTTGATGAATTGCTGGGGTAACCTTGTGTTGGTATGGCTTCCCATCCAGTGGGGATGAATCACACTTCACCTCCACATTTCCTCTTCCCACCCAGGAGTATATATGTGTATCTG